AGCCACCAGTGAAAGAACGAGTGTCAACATAAGCCAAATCTAATTGTATTTACTAATTGAAATGCACCAGTAATGCTGCATATGTAGGCAGAACTGATAAATGATTAAAGAAACAGATTGCTGAACATATTCCGCTATGGGTGGTAAAAGTAATGAAGAACACTAACAAATCAACAATGAATCAGGTGACTGGTTGACAAAGTCCATCATCAGAAATTGCGTGCCATATCAGTAACTCCAGTAACAATCTCTGGGATCCTTGTTAAAAAAAAACTGAACTCATGAAATGAATGACACATCCATGAAATAAGCCCATGACCTCCAGAGCACAAGGCAAATGGCTCGACCTCAGAGACAAATAGTGACCACATTAGGATCACAACTAAGCAGACCATCCTTGAATGATCAGTTAATATGTACATTATCTACACACTTCCAGCTGTGTTGAGTGTACAGTTTGGATTGAGAAATGAATGCACAGGGATGTATCTGGAACAAAGACAAGATAATCCCAGGGAACATACTATCAAAGTATTCGGTATTAGGCCCTCACAGATATCATGTTGAAGCGTTTTGTCTTTTCTTCCCATATAATTTGCCGAAAATTATAAAAAGTGTCCAGTTCGCATTATAGCAAAACTGGGCTAATCATAGAACAATACAAGTTGTTGGGGGACACTATAGCACAGTGACCACTTGCCAGCCTGGCAGTCATTTGTTGAAATCCATAACAAGGCCAATTTTTAAATTCAGTCTAAAAATATGTACCAGATAAGTCTGCTTAAGTAAATGTCGCTAGGAGCCGCTGTGGCATAGCGGTAAGATGCCTACCAGACAACCTGAAGGCCTAGGGTTAAAATCTGCACAGAGGCAAATGTCTGTCAAAAAATGACCTTGGCTCCCATGTCCACCCAACTTAAAATGGGTACCAGGCAATGTCCTGGGAAATAAAAGGTGGCCGGCATGAAGCTGACAACATCATTTGTTGAGTGTCAACAGGTCTATACAAAATACTGGTCTAGCACTATATGCTTGATGCACAAAAGGCATGAAAAAGGTATCCTCTACTAAATGCTGCTGGTTTGATACTGACCACATCACCCACTGAGTGCTGACAAGTCTATAAAGATACACAGCTAGCAATCAATACTCAATAAAAATATTTAAAAACAAATTGTACCAATTCTACAACGGAGGTTGGCTGCAACTTCTAAATACTGGATTATTACATGGTGAGGTTCCTATCTCTCTCATGGTGCCTCCCATACCACTATCTGAAAGCCATGAGAAAGGTCTTTTTCTAAACTGCCCACTGTGAGTATAGAACCCAAAAGCCACAAAGCCGTACAAAAGAAAAACAGGTCCTTAACTTTTATATTTTTACACCAGTCATGAAAAATATCAGGCTACAGTCTGCGGAACAACCCAGACCATGTCTTAGCAAAACAGATCTAAAGCATACAACAGAGAAACAAGAGTATTATGAAAATGAAAGTAATTAGCCCAGATAATATGTGAACAATGCATATCTGATACTGTTATCCTCAAAAAAGAGGGTTTGCCTAACATCTACACTATTCTTAAACAATCCCCACTATGCTTGGCCACCCGTGTGTCACCGGGACCCTCACAGGAAGCAAAGAATAGTGACACTGCACCCTGCCAGGCATGTCGTAAGAGGCGACTAAGGGTAGGGTTAGGCTTGGGGTTGGCTACCTCATCCTGTAAAAACAATAGCCAAAAAAAACAACCAAATATAGATAAGTCAAAAAGAGGAGCAAGTAAAACCCAGCTAACCAAGATGAGGGAAGGCTCAAGTAGAAGAAGTATGACACGTGGAGAAAACTGAAAGGAGTCTGGATCGTTGACATACCTCCTCTCACCTAGAAAACACATGGAGAAGGGAGCTGGAGAATAAAGTTAGAAAGAGGGGGAGGACATGGAGAGTGCTGCATGCAATAGCAAAGGATAGAACGACTTGGCCTGAGTTGGTTGAGGGCCTATTCTCCATTGGGGGCAAGAAAGGCAGAAGAAAACTATGCCTGGCAGGTTATGTGGTCTACATGTCAGACCAACACTGCCTAAAGAATTTACTACAGTGAACTACATAATGGCAGACTCTCCCAATGCTGACAAAAGAAACATTTCAAAAACAATCTTAAGACTTCATTACAACTTTTGTCCTAGATGCTGTCACTGCACACAACCATTCATCCTGGTACTCTTAGTTAGGGAGCGCCATCATGTGAAACAACCATAACAGCAGCAGTTTAAAAAAAAAGACATTCAGAAAAGACTGAACTAGATCCCCAAACATCTCATCCAAATCCCAAGCTCATACTGTGCAAGAACTGTCCATGCAAGGATTGCCATATCAACCATCTGCACCCTTATAAGCCTCCCTCTTCCTAGCAGATTTAATTACTGGTCATCATCACTTGTGAGGGATGACAACATGTTTCAGGATTAAACATCATACCCTTTACAGGATTTTGCAAAAGAACGCCAGCACTCATTGACTGTTTTGTGGTTTTTCTAGATAATTTTACATTCAGCACTTTGCTACTGCTATCTGGATGGTACATTTTTTATATCACTGTCAAATTTTATATAAAAGCAGTCTGTTAACCAAGATGCATGTACCTGATTTCAAAACCCAGCATGTTGGTATTGTGAAATTGCTTCAGAACTCCTAAGCCACAGATGTTGACATTTCAGAATTACACACAAATAACAAATTACGAAAACATGCATGACTGCAACATGCAAAGAAATCTGGTCTGAAACCTGGAACTCACTCTACAGTTTGAATTTAATTTTTATGGAGTATATACAATTCTGCTTAGCCTTCCTTGCTGGGTAGTCGACGGCATTCATGGGAAAATAACACTCTAAAATAGTTACTTGTAAGCCTGAAAATAAACACAAATTCATCTATTTATCTAACAGCTTAAATGTATTTGGTTTACACAATTTTAAAAATCTAGCTAAGATGCTACAATTTAAATCTGAGTTAATAAAGTTAAAGTCAGGAGGATTGACCTCATTGCACTGGGTCTGATCCCATATGGCCAAGTCTCTCTCCCAAAACAGTCAGTTGCCTGCCTAGAGCATCACACAAAGCATAAACCATACAAAGCATAGACTCTGTAGCTCCGGCAACGATCCACAATGATATCCAAAAAATTGCACTCATGAACTGAGCATTTTAGGTAGTGAAATGAAATAATACAAATTTTTTATATTGCCTTCATGTCTGTCTTAACCACACTGGCTCACATTTCAAAAACTGCTTCACCAACTCTATCCTACCTAGAACAACTGCTATGTTAACTTATTATACAAATTATTCCTTGAACTCTTTCTTGGCCAAACTTGAGAGGGCAAAATCTAGACTTCCTGTTGTGACACAGTCCTATAAATGCAGATATATCACTATTTGTGCAGTCGCATATTCTTGAAAAGTGTAGTTAAATGACTGGTTCTATGTGTGCATGTATAGGGTTTAGGAGGCCTGGACATGAATATGTTAATATAGCATTCAGAGGCATTTAATTGTAAATCCACAAGTTAAAGCCAAGCTAACTTAAATTTTCCAAGAAAGATCTGAATACTTTCCTCTTTGTTACTTTTGTGTAGTTCCCTTCATGTGAGACAATGGCTGCCGGGTGGAACGCGTGCGCGCGTGTGTGTGTGTGTGCGCGCGCGCGTTTTTCTGCTTCCCCATTTGGTTAAGCTTTTTAGTCACAGTTCACTGGAACTCCTTGTATTAGCTTGACTGCAGTCACCCCTATATTTTCACTATTTAAAAATTTTTCCAGTACACGTCAATGACAGAGGTCATAGGAATACAACATGAGTAACCTGAGACATATTTATGTTAAGATCCAGGCATGCATTCCTTATAATGTTTCATTCTGTTCTTTTGTACAGATTGCTCCCTTTATATATCTTCATATATTTCAAAAGGGGAGTCACTGTGGCCGAACGGATAGACGCTCGCCGCAGATCGGAAGGTCCTGGGTCCGCTCCCTGGCGGAGCCGGACTTTTTTCAAAAATTACCTTGGCTTCCAGGTCGACCCAGTCTTGAGTGGGTACTGGGTGCAGTCTCGGGAAAGTAAAGGCGGCCGGCGTAATGCTGACCACATCACCCATCTTGTGCCGACTGGTCTATAAAAATATAGGTCTAGCCCTATATGCCCTATACGCCTAAAGGCGTGGAAAGGGTCCTTTACTTACTTTACTTTATATTTCAAAACAAACAATTTAAAACTTGTAGATATATAAACTTTAAAATAATTTATTAGTTACCTGTGTAAAATGGTTGTTCTTTTTTAGAGGATTTTTTTCTCTCAGGACCCATTTTTTTTAGAGCTTTCACAGGGCGAAGTGGTAAACTCTTCTGACTCAAGGAACCACTACTTTAAGTCTTGATATCTATACACAAATATTTATGAATCTGGGTTCACTATTATTAGGGGTTCCAGCAAAATCATATTCTCTTATGCAATTTCCAATTTATAAATCAAACTGACTACTTTAACCCTTTCAGTACCAAGGAACCCAAAATACGTATTGTGTGTGTGCATGTTGTTGTAAATTACACCACAAATCCCCTAATTTTGTTCAGCTGACTACCGGGGGGTCCGCAGACCAGCAAACAGGACAGTAACAACGTTTTAGAATAGAATCAGCTCAAGTGAACCCTGCGTGATACCAAAAAACAACAAGTTAAAACGGAAAACAAAACAGTATTACAGATTACTGCTGTCATCTGTTTTAGAGATTTCTGCTGAAAGCTTAGAAATTATGGCCATTGGTCATTGCTGGTTCTAAACAGTTAAATTTGTATTGTATTCCCTCTTAATAAGTAATAGGAACTCTCTTTGCTTGCAAAGCAGCAGGACAATGTTCAATAGGAATAATCTCTATTCACATGATCAAACTGATCTTCAAAATTAATTTCAGTATTATTTACAATCACAAAGAATTACCTTCATCATCTTAACGTCAGTATTCGTACCAGCAACACAAAGGCTAATGCTGAAAAAGACCAGAAGCAATAACTGTACAGAAATAATAAAACTGTGAATAATTAGCGGAAATATCTGCTGACATCTGCAAAAATAGCGAATAAGAATGGATCATTTATAGTATAATTAAGTTTCATCTGTAAATAGAAAGAGTCAACAGTAAAGAGATCAGAGGATGAAACTAGAGACTTTTTACTGACCAAATTCTATACTTGCTCTCCCCGTTATTTAGATAACTTGTCATTCACCACCTCCTGCATCTTCTTCTTCTTCTTCACTTCCTCTTTTACCACTGTGGGTGTCGAGGGAGATATAAGGTTCTGTTTCTAGCTCTTCTGGCTGCCTCGACCATAGGCACATCGTGCTGTTGTAGAGTTTCTCTGATGTTATCCTTCCATCTTGTTCTTGGTCTACCCCATGCTCTACGTCCTTCTTCTCTTTCCATGTATGCTTTGTATGGTATGGTGTCACAAGGCATTCTCTCTAAGTGGGCAAACCATTTCACTTGCTGTCTTTACCTCCTGCATACACATTCAAAACAGTATTAGTAATCTTCTTCTTCTTCGTATTCACTGGCTATAAGCTCCAGCAAAAAGTACTGGCTGTTAGTCCGTGTCTGGACTTTAGACATGTTCCAGAATCTGAGTGTTGCATGCACATCCATGTAACAGATCTGACATAACTGTATGCACACTGTTTGTTCCTTGCCTCTGAGGCAGACGCACTCTGATTTCAAAGGAAGCCCCCAATCAGTCAATTTTTACAAAATGCTTGTTTGAGAGGCAGTGTGTCTATTCTTGTTTTCCCCATATTTCCCCACAATGGGGCCCCAGAACCCACACATGGAAGTTTTAGTAATGATATATGTAGATTCTCAGAGAATGAAACCAATTCAACTGCAACTATAAGTGAGACATAACTATCTGAGTCTTTGAAGACAATATAATGGTATTTATATTCCCTTGGTTGTTCTTCTAAATGATGAAAGTTAGATCAAGGAAACTGGACAAAAAAAGGTAGATCAAGGAAAGCGGACAGAAAGTTTGCTTTTCCAGATGGTGAAAGGTAGATCAAGGAAAGTGGGCAGAAAGTTTGCTTTTCCAGATGGTGAAAGGTAGATCAAGGAAAGTGGACAGAAAGAATGTTGCTCTTTCTAATGATGAAAGGTAAACAGGAAAAGCAGAGCGAGGGATGAAAGGTGATTCAGAAAAAGTGAAGAAGAAGAAGGTTGCTTTCCATAAGAAATATATTTATGATTATGGTCTTGAACTAACATTCTATAACTCCTGGTTCAAGTTCTATAGAAATTTATACTTGCAATTTTTCTTCTTTTTCATGTTAATAAAGTGGCTAGATGCTTGCCTGCCAGCCTAAAGATCTTAAGCTCAAATCCAAATTTTAAAAAATTCAAGGTTTTGAGATATACATGCACACACACACACACATATAAATAAACAAACACAGTGATTAAAGTTGTCTGGAACACCATCAGCTAAAATGAGAAAAACAGATGCGATATATTAGGTACATGGGATCGCATCTTAGCAGACTGGGAGATACAGGACCAGCAATAGTTGAATTCCTTAAGAAATCAAACATTCAAAGATTAGGACTAGTTGACATGAGGAAACAAGAGAGAATACAAAATAAATAGATAAGACTTTCACAACACAAGAAAACAGCTCAAACAGGTCCCCACACTGAAAGCTCTGGAATGAAGAACTATAAAACATAAGACAGAAGACATATTACAGGCACAGTACAGACAGTGCATACTTACTGTAACAGACAACAGCACATGTGTGAGGTGTGACTGCTCCGATGTTAGTGGCGAACCAGGTCTCATTAATTTGGTTACAGACAAAACCAGAGAGCAGGAAGAGAAACACTAATGCTAGACTGGATACAACTGAAAACAAAACAGAAACAAAGCCTGCATTGACAATATATTAACTTGATGCATGGAAGGTGTGCCTTACATTCTTCTTCTCCTTAGAATTCACCAGCTGTTAACTCTAGTGGAAAGTTCTGTTTGTTTGTCCACTTCTGGACTTTGGTCTTGTACCAGGACATGAGTTTTATATACACATCTGTGTTATAGATCTGCATGCAGACTGCTGGTTCCTCACTTCTCAGGCAGATGCCCTCTAATTTCAAAGGAAACTGTCCTAATTAGGTTGCTTTATATGAGATGCCTCTTGGGGAGACAGTGCATCTTAACACCCCCCCCCCCCCCAATAGGCTCTGGAACCCACACTGGGAATATGTGCTTATAATGAACTATTTTAGTGGGAATGAAATAAATAAATTTGACAATATAACTTGCAAATCCCCCCCCCCCCCCACCACCCTCCTTTGAAAAAAAAAGTCTTTGTACTGGAACAAAAAAAGGAAGACCAAAAAACGCATGAAGAAGGGAGCTTGGTTAGTTGCGCATCCTTTACAGGACATTGTAGAACCAACCCCAACAGCCCCTGGCTGTTGTGTGGTTTTTCTAGACAAATTTACGTCCAGTAGTTTGCCATTGTTTTCTGGACGGTCGGCTTTCTTGATATCACTGTCAAAACCAATGCAAGGCGCATGGCCCGCAGCTGGGATCGAACCCGGCATCCCGGCATTACAAAGCGTTTGCATCGACTTAGCCACAGAGTCGACAGATAGAAAGATAGGAAGGGCATGAGAAAAGCTGCATGCAAAGAATGACTTGGTGTGAGCTGGTTAAGGGTGTATGCTCTATTGGGGGTTAGAAGTCAGAAGAGTATAATGAGTTTAATAATATAATAAAAATAAAATTAAAATAATATATTAAAAAACACTTTTTATAAAATGAGCTTTTGTTTACAAAGCATCGCATAATTAATGCACCAATAAAAAAAATGTATCACATAAGTTGATAGACACACAAGATGAAATCTTCTTATTCTTTCATTGGCTTGAAATTGATTATCTATATCTGCAATGCTGTCTCTAGTATGAACTTCATTGTCTTTTGTAATTTACTCAGCGACCTATAAAATTTGGCTTGCACCGGTGTTACTCTTGGACAAAAGTTTTGCCTTGATCTGTTGTATTTAGGTGAGTCTTGGAGGACGTGATCTGTTGTTCATGAAATGAATCTCTTTAAAATATTTATCCACAATTTTATAGCATGAATGATACAAGCAAGGGGCACCTAACAGAAAGTATAATATACTTGACTCAACATGTTAAAAGTATCAGCCATTATCCGTAAACATCTCTGGGTTCCAGAGCCCTTTTGTTGGGGAAAGCAAGAAAAAACTCACTGCCTACCCAAAAGCAAGTCAAGTTGTAAGAGTCGACTAACTGGGAGCTTTCTTCGAAGTCGGAGTGTATCTGCCTGACAGGCACAAAACCAACAGTCTGCAGACAAATGGGTCAGACCTGTAAAACGAATGTACATGCAATACTCAGGTTCCGGAACAGGACTACAGTCCAGAAGTGGACAAACAACCAGAACTTTTTCCCTGAGTTTACAGCTGGTGAATGCAAAGAAGAAGATCTGTATATATTTGATTCTATTGTTATCTGTAGCAATACTTTATAACTGTGTGTATATTAATATCAAGGGTACCCTACGCTTTTGTTAGACTGGGAAAGAGCATGAAGTGACCATGCAGAACAACACATACAGTCAAAGGGAAATAAAATAAGAATATTACTCTGAAATCTTTTTCCTGAGTTACTGAAGCCCACACTTTTGCTACCAGGGATGCTGCCACTACTGCTGCCTGCGGAACATTCTGGAAAACCAGTGGCGGATCTCTCTTTTTCATTTCCACTGGATAAGACCACAAGTTTGATCTCACGAAAACCTAGTTTTATAGAAAGAAATGTTTGCACACCAAAAATGTTAGTAATCGCAACTGATATTCTTACCTCATTTTGTTCCACGGAATGCACCACACATTTATCGGATTAAGCCTTTGGCAATCTGATTAAATTCTTTCTATTCCACCCAGCTTTTAAGCTACTGCTCCTTCAGCCAGTTTTTAAGCTTTTTCTAATCCAGTCAACTTTTAGGCTGTTCACTAATGCCAGCTTTTAAGCTATGTCTACTCTAGCCAACTTTTAAGCTATTTCTACTCCAGCCAGCTTTTAAGCTATTTCTACTCCAGTAAGCTTAAAAGCTATTTCTACTCCAGCTAGCTTTTAAGCTATTTCTACTCCAGCCAGCTTTCAAGTTCTTTCTACTCCAGCCAGCTCTAAAGCTATTTCTACTCCAGCCAACTTTTAAGTTCTTTCTACTCCAGCCAGCTTTTAAGCTGTTTACTGAAGTCAGTTTTTAAGCCATGTCTACTACAGCCAGCTTTGAAGCTATTACTCCTGTCAATGTTTAAGCTATTTCTGCTTCAGCCAGCTTTTAAGCTATTTCTACTCCAGCCAGATTTTAAGCTATTTCTACTCCAGCCAGCTTTTAAGATATTTCTACTCCAGCCAGCTTTTAAGCTAACTTTCTACTCCAGCCAGCTCTAAAGCTATTTCTACTCAAGTCAGATTTTAAGCTACTTATACTCCAATCAGCCTTTAAGCTTTTTCTACTCCAGTCAGCTTTTAAGCTATTTCTATTCTAGCTAGCTTTTAAGCCTTTTCTATTCCAGCTAGCTGTTTACTTTCTATTTTAGCCAGCTGTTTACTTTCTATTTAAGCCAGCTGTTAAATTCTTTCTATTTCACCCATCTATTTAACTGTTATATTCCAGCCTTTATTTTTGAAGATTCTTCAGATTTATTTTGCTTCGGTCTTCTATTTAAAAAAAAATTAAACCACTGACAGATAGGCTTTTTTTTTTCTGGAGGTACCTTTCTTTACTTCTAATCTGTTCTCTTTCAAAATCTGAGCACTATTTTTTTTTTAATCTATGGCCATTTAATTAAGCTCAGTTAAAATCCACCATCTCAAACCTGTGAATACCAGTGTGCTACTTGGGCTGAGATGGTTTATCGATAGAAAGTAATATATTTTGTAAATAAGCTGCTAAATGGTACTATGCTCATAAGACCGACTTCCAGTTTTGAGTCTCTCAAATAAGACAGTGTGTCTAATGTATGTTCTTAGAGGGAACTAAAATCACAACTATCAGTTGTTAAGTTTTTTATGTTTTGTGCAGTTGGTGAATGCATCTGTGAGTTTTTAGTTGACCCAAAATTAATCTATCTAATTCTATTTCCAAATGAGTCACTTTCTATTAGTGGGTGAAAAGAAAGAGAATAAAAGAAGCATAAATCCTTGAAATTGCTTCCAATTCATCAAAATTGATGAAACTAACTTTGAAGACACAAACAGTGAAAAAATTAATACGAGATCTAAATATACAAAAACAACTGATTCATGAACTCTCTGAGGTCTGAGCAACGTTGTGAGTGTTGACTGAGAAGTTCCGTTTTGCCCAAACAATACTGTCAGTCTCGATCATGTGTCCTGTACATACTGATTCACACACGGCTCCGTTTTCGTTTCTAATGTTCATAACTACAAATAAAGTATTAAGGAAAGGTTACTCTAACCTTTTCCTTTGTATAAGGATCTTTATTCACCCACGTGTGGTAGCAGACTGATCTCACTCATTGCTAGCGTCATATCCAGACAGTGAATTTTGTCATTTCGTGTTCGACGCCAATGTTCCAACCACAAGTACAGGTTGCAAAATGCTGTGTTTTTCTGTGGCCTAAGCTCTGAAATTGTTTAAGTCAGATGTTTTTAATTCTGATAACAATGAAAATTTAGATTTGTCGGAATGTTAAATTTACACCAGCGGCAGCTGAGCAATCAGCTGTTAGGGAATCTAGCAATTCTGTTGAGTTTGACACAGACAATGTTTTATTGCTACCCTATTTAGGGTGTAATTTTCTTTGAAATGTTGTTCAGCACTTTGTGAGAACTTAGTGCCTCTGAGTGCTAAACTAACCCGGAGACTTATTATAACTTTGGAATTTGTTAGGTAATTGAATAAACTTTAAAGAGTTATTCTCAAATTTGGATTTTCACTGCTCTTGTGGCTGCAAAACCATGGTAAGAGAAGATTTTGTTCATACAAATGTGTCTTTGTAATCTTAACACCTGTGATTCGTCTTTCCTACTAACTATAACAGTATTAAACATAAAAAATCATCAGTTTCAAACTGTACATTAATTCCTCTTTACAAAAACATATATCTTTGTAGGGATTACAAATATATTACACTCTCTACTGCCATTATTGTACACCACCCACTCTGACATTTTCATAAAGGGAAATTAATGTGAGCCAAGATTGTCAAAATTAATAGGCTTGAAAGAGTATTATGTATTCTTCAGCTTTTGAACCTTTGAGGTTTACTGCTGCAGATACCACCTGCCCCAATTTAGGTCTGTGACTGGTGCTCTTTCCAGTTCATGACTTGTGTTTGTGGGTCTGCCCGAATGTAATCACTCTTCCCAAGAAGTTAAATATTTTGGCCTTTGTAAACAATGTACTGACTTATAAGAAACAGTGATAGAAAGCAGAGTCCTAGAAGATTAGTTTAGTTAAGAACTGATATCAGAGCAGTCAGGACATTCCCATAAGTGCTCTGTCCTCATTTTCCAGACATGAAAATACATGAGGCAGGGTAACTGGCAAGAAACTTTCTGGCAAACCATAAGGGGAAGGATGTTCTGCACAGGGCCTGCTACATAATAATGATGACAAGACTAACCGATATACTGCTGCACATGAGGTCGCTGGCTGTGTCTCGTTCTTGAGCACTTGAAAAACCTCACTTGCAGTGACCCTTCAAATGGAGATGCTGCAGATGTGCATGTGAGCTCTCTGTAAACAAACAGTAAACAGTTACACATACAAATGTTACTGGTTCTTTGTACATCTGTCTGTCTTTTACAATTTGCTTGAGTTGTCATGGTTATAAATAGTGATTAACTGAAGAGTGGCCTTATGCTAGGTAACAAAGTGAAAAAGGACAATATAATAAACTGCATTTTTTCAACTTCTCAGTTCTCATCTTTTCTTCCTGTATCAGCTTTAGAAAAGCCTCTAATGGGTGTAATATTCAATGTTGTATTCATATTCATTTATTCTGTTGTTTGTCGCGGTTATAATTTGTTTGTCATGTTGTAACATGGGAGGAGGGAAGGGGGGGGGTGGGGTGGGGGCGGGGGGGGGGGATTTGTGGTGATCTTTAATTTTGTTTCTATTATCTAAGTTCTAAAGCTCATTTTGTTCTGTTCTGTGACAATTCTGTTGCATGGACTAAGCTCCTGATTTGTTGTTTGTTTTAAATAAAATCTAACATTGGTGACCTCTGTACATGCAATCAGGTGCCACTGATTTGTATTCTGTCTATATCACGGGCAACCTGAATGTCATTGTATTAAACTCAAAAGTTAGAATTCAAATCTTCAAGCCTTTCAACAAATAAAAAAAAAAATTTCTTTCTCCTGTATTTGCCCTTTAAAGGGTAGCTGAAACATTGTGTTGTGTATACAGATGGGCTGAGATCAAGTTAAAAGCTGAAGTCAAGAGAATGGATTTTACTGCACTGGGTTTTATTCTATATGGCTTGGTCTCTCTCTGCAGAATGACTAGCCAGCTGGCAACTGTCACCAAAGCTCTGGCAACAATACCTAGGGGTCTCCATAAAAATTGCATTTGCGAACCCAAAGATGCAGCTATGAAATGACCCATGACCTTCAAAGCACGAGGCAAAGAAACTCATCTGCACCTTTCGCCCCAACACATACAATACCAACAAACTCATAATTAGTCACCTTTATGACATGCTTATTGGGGAGGAGGGGGGAGTGGGTCTGTTTCCCTGGCTTTCCTTCTCCCACCCCCTTCCATATGGAGCCATGGAACCCACAAGGAGAAAAGAGATGTATTAGACAGTTACTACTTAAAATAGCTGCTTGTTATAAAGTTACATAAAATTATGTTTGTCCATCACGAATGATGAAAACTACTTTTCATCCAAAGTAGTAATGTTCAATGATTATGAGTACGAAGGTGGCTGAATAGTATAATTTGAGCCTGGCAGGCTGATGCAACATGCCTGAGGGATGTACAACATCCAGAATGGTTCTGTGTCGCAGCCTCCCATGTTGATGTGTTGATGCCAAAAGAGTTGAGGGCAGTCCTTAAAGTGCTTTTTATGTCCTATCTGGGACTTTCTTCCTTGCTGGAACTCGCCATAAAATACTTCTTGGGAAGGCAAAAGTCTGGCATGCGGGCTAGGTGACCAGCCTAACGCAGCTGATAATTTTTCAGTATCGTGTGGATGCTAGGTACCTTTAGCCATATCAAGAACCGCAGTATTTAGATCCTATCTTGCCATTTGATTTACAGCAGCTTTCCGAGACAAGTTATATGAAACTGATTCAACTTTATAGGATGGTGCTGATACCCAGTCCATGTTTGGGAACAGAAAATTGTAAGTATACAGCAAACAACACCAGAAACCAGATTTACATTATTATATTAGAGTTCTAATTTTTAAATTAAATGAGAGAGTTTTAATCAGACAGTTATTATTAAATTAAACACATTGGTAATGAACAAGATGACTTTCCTTAGACATGTATGAGTGTGTAAAGATAAAAACAAGAAAGAAAAAGAGAATTCACAAACTGTGGATGAGACAATAAGACGTACTTACATATACACCTTGTTTGAGCTACGGAGAAGGCCTTGCTGTAGGGATAAGAAGCAAATATTTGGGTATGGGTTGTCAACTGAAACAAAAAGAGACATATAGATGTAGGTTAAGTAAGAATTAAAAATTCCTATTCACACTACAGGACGATTTAGGCATACTGCTCTAAAGCCATATTTTTTTAGACTAATTCGCACTAAATTTATCTCAAGACATGGCAATGGGATCTTTACATTAATTTGCTTTTACAAAAGATAACAAGTCATTAATTTATCTTTATTCTTCTTCATCTTTGTTTTTTTCTTCTGTATGTATGTATGTATATGCATAGCTCAGAGTAAGAGGTGAGTCTACTCTTATTTTTCTCTCATGCACACCTGATTTCTTGGGTGTTAATCGGCTGTCTACATACATTAAGCAATGAGGCAGAATGGTGCACAGACTTTTTTTTTTTTAAATGACCTTTAGCTCCCAGGTTGACCTTACCTTGAACTGATACCAAGTGGAGTCCTGGTAAGTAAAGGTGGTTGGTGTGATGCTGACAACATCACTCACCAAGTGCCAATAGGTCTATAAAATATAGGTCTAGCTCTGTATACCAAATATGCCTGTGAGTTAAGATTTTACCTCACAGCACTCAGGCATTCCCATTTGCTCTCCATCCCCATCTTCAGCAGCCATCACAGGGTCCCAACAATAATGGTACCAGTCGTAGTCTGGTTATATTTCCCTGTTGCCCTTCCTCTGAGTCCAGTGTGCTTCAAGCTTCACTTGAAGGGTCACAGGTAATAAGCATATTGTGGATCTTCTCTCCAGACTATGTCGGCATGGTGGGGAATGAACAGGAAGACAGACTGGCTGGATTTGCACCATTGGGTGGTGAACTGATACATGACAAGGCAGATGTGGTCAAGGTCCTTTACTTTTTTTTTTTTTTACATAAGCTGGTGTGATTATTGGTTAAGGAAGGTACATAATTGGGTGTGACAGACTTTCCATAAACATGGAACAAGTAGAATAAGAAGAAACAATTAAAGTCCTTCATACTATCTGGGCTGAACTACTGACCACTACTGGCATACACAAATCCACTGACCACAATGTTATCGGTTTCAGTACTCACCTTTGAAAATGATGTCATGAGGGAATGGGTTGAGCACGCAAAATGTCTCCGTTTTTGGACATTCTCCGACCTGGAAAACAATTTCACTTGGATGCACAAAAGGAGCAGGGCCAGGGCTGGTAGGCATCTATGCCTATGTAGCCATCCAGTGTTTAGTAAAACAAAATTGGAGAATTCTGGAAGATCCCCAAGGCCATCTATGCCTATGTCGCCATCTGGAACAATAAAAAATGAAACTATCATGCTTGCGACATGCCTGATATCATAAAGTCAGCTGTTAGGCTAGTTAACTTAGCCCTTATCATTAACTTTTTTCAGCACCTAGTAGCTTCTGATCGTTATCACTTTAACCTTTTTCTTGGTCACTTTTTTTTGAGGAGGAAAAGAAAAAGAACAGAACCACTGCCCTCTCAGAAGCATTTTGTAAAAAAAGCAGAATTCAGATGTGTGGTGCCGAAAGGTGCAGATACCGGAGACAAGAGGGTCAATGAAACCGTTAAAATTTTACGACTACGACTAATTTTTTTTAAAAATCAATAGCCTTACTGGCCTACCACAGAAGGGTACACCTGAGAAGTGCTTCGTGCAGTCCTTACAGGTGTAATTATAATTTTTTATAAGGGTGAATTAGGTATCTAAGGTTAGATCTGCTGGACTACCATCCGGGATGCGACTGTGAGTCGGCCAGGGTGATAAACCTTCAGGTAGGAACCCGGAAAATGATGGGATGGGGGGTGGGGGGGGGGGACCAAAAATCTCAAGCAGAAGTAAGAAAAAATAAAATACTTTAAATACATTGTATATTTTTTTTTATTTTAACTGTGTCCAAGGCAGCAACTAAAAGTTATTTAAACAGGGATAATATTGACAGTTAATGAGATGCGCCCCATGAAAACCCGTGATTACAAAAATGTATTAATTCACAGCGCGCTTACCAATGCTTTACAAACTAAAACATCGTAATTTGGGAGGCTGGATAAAGAATCTAGCAGTCAATCGTCTGCCTTGTTGTTCTTCCTGAGGAAAACAGCAGTCTGAGTGTTGCCAGATAATCTGTCAGTCTTGTCTCTCAAAGATGTGAACTCCTTGGGACTCCTGAGACTATCGAAGTGTTACGATAAATATATTGTTAATACTGATAATACTTCATTGACACTATAAGGTAAACATAGATTTAGGAAGGTATATTTTACCCCCTACAAAAATGCAAGCTATATAAACACTTGATTCGAGTTTGAAAGTACATTTAAATTACAATGAACTTGGCAATCTGTACTCCTACAAAGTGTACACAATTAATACATAAACTATGCAAATGTTGAATAAACAAACATAATAGGCACAAATATCCATTATTTTAAAAATTAAAATATGTATATCCAAATTAAAATCCAAAAAGTTTGAACAAGATATTGCTGTTTAGATGACTACGACTATTTTAACACCGTGGCATCGATGATGTAATTACAATGTAACTATTAAGACTAGCAACTTAAACTGGTATATTGAAATAGCAGAGGTTGGACTAAATCGTCATTCTTCAAGTCTAAGTCAGTGCCTCCAAGTGCCTAAGTCCAGTCTCAAGTCGACATGAATGCTTCACAGCCCAGTCCCGAATCAAGTCACTTCATGTATCAAGTCAGTTGCCAATGGGACAATTTTTATGAATTAAACTAGTCGGTCTGTTATAATACTAAAACAAGAGCCAACAATTGTTAGATTTTGATTTTCTATGTAAACAGCTCAACTGAATACACACAATTACATATTGAGGGTATTGTTATTTTTGTATAACCATTCATACAAACACCATGCTAGAAGTACAAAAACTTGGAAAATATTAGAAACTCATATATATATGTAAACTTAACACTTGCCAGAGATGTCCTACGTGAGCCGACAATTAACTGTCAAAGATTATACTGTCAGATGATAGGTAGGTAAGTAAGTTAGACCCCACCAGGACATCACACAAGCGATAAACACCCGGTGACACAAAATGCCACTTTGCGAATAAGAATAATCTGTGGAGAGGTCCCAGTAAACCCCGTTCAACCGTTAGGCCATATTTATGACCGGCTATATTTAGGCCCCCGGCAAAAGCCAGGGTGAGGCTTCAAAATAACTAAAAATTGCATCCCACATATGGGAGGTAGTATATGTGTCAGATGAGAGCGTGATACTGTGTCAGATACATGACTAAACAGCTAAAATGGGTTTGACATCTTGTTAGGCTGCAGCAACAACAGTTACCGGTACTACGTCTAAGAAAAGCTAATATGAGGTGGAAAAGAGGGTCACAAGAAGATTGATTGGAAACTAAAGAAACCGTTCATTGACAAGGAATAACGATAGACAGTACCACCCATCGAGCGCTGGGAAACTGAATATTCCTCTACAACAAGGCTTTTCAGCTAAGTTTACTTAGGGGCCACAATTTTGAAAATGGGATTCGTCGGGGGCCACATGCCTGAGCCCAAGCAAAGATAAATCATTCATACAATACAACTGGCAATGATCCGAGGGCCATTTGCAAGACCTTCGCGGGCCAGACCCCTTAAACGGGGGTATTTTGAATTTGCTATGTTGGTTTCCATCTCGATTGATACTTTGTAATCAGAACAGTCAAACTTTCCAGTAGCTGCCCGGAGTGGAAAAGAATGCAACGCTTTTATTTTTTACCAAATCCCTCATGGGGCGACCTTCCCTATGACCGCTGTTGTTATGCGAGTAGTATCAGTAAGCTATGCATATTGGAAAAGAAAGTGTAGGGAAGCTCTGTTTGCCATGTCATTTCCCTCCTGCATTCAAACGTTAGGCCTATGTTTTACTTTTTGAATGCGTCGTTAGAATTCACAAGTGTAATTGTATCGGAGACTCCAACGGTTCGTCGCTGGATTTACAGAGACTCTTGACTCTTGTGAGGCTCTTGACAGGCAGGCAGTCGTTTTGTGAAAAGATGAAACCAAATAGGGTTAAACGTAGTGCGGTTAAATAGATCATTTCGACTTTAATTGCTAAATACTGTAAACGGACGTTTTGAAAATACCAGTATACAAATATGTCACGACATCACAAAAAGTAGACACACATCATGGTCTCTCGCACTGTGTTACACGCTCTCATGCGGCTTTCCCGTCATCTTCTTATTGTTATTTTTCTACTTCTATCTTTGTCTTTTTCTTGCTCGCATGTAATCATTTTCCCCCTCTAGTATGGTCTTCATAAAAGTGTCATAGTATTATTTTGTTTTGGTGTGTGTGTGTGTTTGGGGGAAAAAAGTATGGGGGGGGGGGTGGGGGACTATTTCAATTGTCCCTTCAATTTTTCCAACACTCGTTTTCCATTCCCAGACCTTCCAGAATCTCTTTATCTCAGTCATCTTGATCCTCTGGTACCTGGTGGTGTCGAGGTGAAGTATAATTTACGGGAAAGTGCCCGTTTGTGCGCTTCATGATGGAGATTCCAGTGGACTCAGTTATTCCCTCTGTCCGTGGTTTGCATGGTCTATCTGGATATCCTTTAACATTGCCTGGTTCGTTGTCGTCTAGATCAGTCGCTTCATACTTCGATCTGTTTCTTCGATCGGTAAAAGTTATCTTCCACTGGGCCAATCGCAGAAAAAAACTGACCTAGGTGGGGTTCAACCACTAGGCGAGCCAGAATCCCGTTCACACATCATGACTTCTCGGTCTGCACCACATAAAGGTTGGCCTGTGTGGTCTACAAGTCATCAGTTGACTACTGATTTTCACCCCTCAAATGAGAGACTAGCCGATCTCAACCCAACTGGCTGTAGGGCCAGATGCAGCCCAAACCTGGTAGACTTTATGTTCCCATTAAATCATCATCATCATCAGGTGCCTTGCCGTCTGGCGTGGGCGATCATGCCTCTCCATAAAATTAAAATACAGTGACATAAATTGTGTCTGTATTTAAGCCCTCAAGGGTCCTAGTTTAATTTTCCTTGTCGCAATCAGGGACAGTGTCCCTAGCAACCAGCAAAAACCTCAGAAATAAGATCAATAACAGAGGTAATATCTAAAACATAACTCATCAAGAGCAACTTCACGCTGACAGAAAGGGAAGGCCCACAAAGGAAAATCGGAATACAAGGCGCAACCAAACGCCACAAAGAAAAAGTACGACCAAGAGTCAGCAAATCAACACGAACTCGATACAGTCGCCGCTCAACTAAGGAGCAGATTAAAATAGTCAAGGAGTTTTAGTATTTTTGTTTCCAAATATCCAATCCGATTCAATTTTCTACAGGTTTCTGTAACATATAGCAGGTTTGAGAAACTTCTTTGTTATCTCACACGTGTAGATATCCATATTTGTCGCTATTCCTGTGTAATTTAAAATGCAATTTTACTTCTGACATCGTATAGTATTAGTTACAACTTCTAGTATATCTATGATGTTCACTGTTGGCCTCTCCTCACATAGTTTTCGTTTTTTAATTAATAATAATCTAAATCACGTCCTGAGTTTCACCTATAAATTTAGTTTTCACAGTAAGTCTTGTAGCTCTTTTCCACCTTCTGCCAGTAATACTGTGTCTTCAGCATATCTACCTTTTTATCATTCTTCCATTTATATTCCTTCCTGTGGACAACGACACCTTTAGGCCTCCAAAATGAGATATCAAAGAAAGGTGGTCCAAGTGACAAGACAGGTGGTCCAAGTGACAAGAAATGACAAAGTTCGCATTCACACACAATACGTCAAGATCTTGAAACCCAGGCTTTACAAACTCGAGTGGATCAGTCACAGTTACGATGATTTGGACATGTATGCAAAATAGGAGAAAAGCGGCCACCATGGCAGGCATAGGAGGCTAAGAACCAGGTAATGAGACTTCCAGGGCGACCCAGTATCCACTCGGAAAACAACATCAGTCCCTGACTGACAGAGGACTGGAATGGAACAAAGGCAAAAAGAAAACTGTTGATAGAAAAGTCTGGATATCTCTCTGGCAAACATTTACACCCCAAGGTAGAAGGGGAGCGACTAAGTAAGTAAGTATATTCCTTCAAGGACATAATCAAACATTTTTGAAAATAATTTTTATCTATCAGCTAAAACGGACTGGGATAAATACAAATTCCTGTTGTATTCTTTTAA